CAACAACCTGAGAGAACTCGCTAGGGGCAATGATGTTACCCTATGGTGGGTTCCAGGTCACAGCAACATTGAGGGCAATGAGAAGGCCGACAAGCTGGCCAAAGAGGCAGCAAACACGCCCTTCATTGGACCCCAACCTGGATGTGGACTACAAAAAAGCCACCTAAAACAAATAATCAACAACTGGGAGGCTTCAAAGATAGCCTTACGCTGGAAAGAACTTCCAGGTCACAGACAAGCGAAGAGTATGATAACTCCGTCGCAAAACAAAACCAAAGAGGTTTTATGCCTCAGCAAAGGGGATCTAAGAACGCTCTCAGGCTACCTAACCGGCCATGTGCCCCTAAAATACCACCTCTTCCACATTGGACAAGCTGAGGATCAAACTTGTCGACTATGCAACGACGAGTCAGAAACTGCTGAACATATACTGTGCAATTGCGTCGCCAGAGGCCGTCTAAGGCACAACGTCTTCGGTAAAACTCCCCTGTTACCTACCGACATAAAGGTTCAAGACCTCAGGACAATACTAAGGTTCATTAAGGACCTACATTTGCCCTAAACCTTTGGAGGGCTAAAGTTACAATAGATCTTATAGGTCGCGGTAACGAGAGGGGCCGCCCTCCTCAGCCCGGCAGCAATAATAATAATAATAATAATAAGGTCAATCTGGTGACAAATTTAAAATACTCCTCCTGGTTTAAAAACAGAGTATAGAACTAACACAAGATCTACAACTAGAATCAATCGGGTTTAGCAGTCTTGAGAGACGTGCGACTATCCGAATGTTTTTCGTTTTCAGTCTAGTATTAACACAGAATCTATTGATACACAGTCTATCTAACGACAGGTAGTCAGTCGTTATGCATCAAAAGCCTAAGAAAAACAAGGGCGTTTCATCCGAAAATATACGTTGTAATCTCACCTAGTTTAGTGAAAATAACTTTACTTTTAAGTTTATCAGATTGATGTTGTTAGGTGTTGACTGGTTTAATAGGAAAAAGCATTCTTAACATTGCTTATGACGTCACATCGAAACATTAATGTCATTGTTTGGTATGTTCTACACTTTTCCACACATTCTTTTTATTTTTAGCGTGTTTTTTGAGTCATTTCGCATTGATAAAAACAAAAATCGTCGATTTTTAAGCCACAAGATGATTCTTGAATTTTTCCAAAAAAAAATCGTATATAAATAACTCACCTATAACTTCTACCTTCTCTTCCATTCCTATAGCTTACATGAATTCCAGTTAATGAAACCCCAATAATGGCACTTTCTCCATTTTTGTCTTTAACAAAAAAAACTTCTTGTCCATAACCATTCAATCGCTGACAAGCACAAATATAATACTCTTCAGCGGTACCTTGAGGAATATTTAGCAAAGCCGCATGTTGCTTACTTGCAGAATCAGTTAATGATTCCAAAAAATTAGGATCAGTAAAACTCTACCAAAAAAAAATTACATCATTTTAATTCCTTAATTTCAAATCATTTTTTACCTTTGGAAATAATTGGAAATCTTTTAGATAATGGGCTGTATGCCTCTCTGCGTTAAAGTTCCCAAACTCAGCTTGCATACAATAACCAGCAAGTTCGATGGCTTGCATGGGAGTACAAGATATTCGCTCTTCAATAACATCCGATTTTAATTGTAAAAAATAATGATATCTCGTTACTTCATCGTTTAATAAGCGTACTCCTGATATAACATAATACATAACCCTCAAATAAACACACAATCCCTTCGCAAACTTATCCAGTTGCCTCTTAATTGGCTTATCCAATTCCAACCAACTAAATGTGTTCTCTCTAACCCTATTCATGTATTGTAATCCAAAAAATTTTGGTTGATTAAGACCAAGCTTTTGACACACAACGTCCAAACAATCTTGACCTGTACTTTCCGATGATAGAGTACACTCAACATTGGTGTTGTCCAACATTTCCACGGAAATGACGAAAACCGACTTGGAAACGACACTGTAGTGTCGGGATTTCTTTAGTTTTAATTTAAACGGCATTTTCGGGGCGGGTCTGTAACCAAATGGGGTATTTATTATTGGGGGGCGGAAATGAAATGATCGAGTCATAACGGGTTGGTAAAATGGAAATTTACCGTACGGATTCAAATGAAATCTTACCTTGGTATCACGCGACTTGTGCAAACATATTACACCTTTTTCTGGGAGTCTTTATTCTCCTTTTTTTTTTGAAAAGCTTATTTATATTCTGAACGCATTTTGACAGTTGTGACAGCTTTTAAAGCATTAGAGTTCTTACAGGTTTCCATTTTAACGACTTTAAATTCCAACGTTGGATTTGTTTATAATAAATTAATTAAAATTGTTATTTATTAAGTTGTTTTGAAATAAAATTTTTGTAAAAAGGTAATATTTTTCTGGAAGTGTATTAATTAAATTAAGTTATTTAATTTGTGAGCGACATCTTGTATGTAAAAGTTGAAACATTTCCCATTTGATAATAGGGGGTAAATTAAAAAAAAATTATAACTTCTTTATTTATAAAAAATCGATTTATGTCTCAAATTGAAGATGTCCGCTTTCGAAACTTATATCAAAAAGTTTTGAGAAAAAAATTAACGCCCTGTATAACTTAAATCGATTGTAAAACGGTAAATCTTTACAAATTTAACAGAATATTTTAAAACTTATTCATTTGGGATGATATAAAATACAACAAGACGTTTATTTGATTGGAAGATGGATTTATTAATACAACTTGCGATTTCAAAACAATATTAATGCGTTATTCAATGAAAACTACGAGAAAAAATGATAGAGAAATGAAAATGGGTGAAGTCCATGTGAAATAAAAAGGAAACGGTACCAAAATAGAATTTTTTTGTAAATCTAGTTCAATAAATTTGCTCCCTTAAGCACGATTTTTAATAGATTACGAGATACACGTTTTTTTTTCTTATTTTTTTTTGAGGAGCGAAACGTTTATTCTTTTTTAAAGACTTATTTTGTACTCTAAATAGTCACATTTCAAGAAATTAAAAATAAAAGACGAGTTATTTACAGTTGAGATGTTCCTTTTTTCGATGAGAAATAGGAATTCAGTGAATTAGTTTTAGTTAACTATCACTTTTCCATAATTTTATGGTTTTATCGTTTTCAAGAGCTGCTGAAGCTATTATATTTTCCGTTGGGTGACATGTTGTACATAAAACAACGTCTAAAATAATTTTTAAAAATTATTAATCGATATTACACTTTATTTTTTAATTCGGAGGAGTGTTTTCAAATTGAAGCGCCAAAAAGAAGGGTTGCTATTGGTCAGTTTTAAGCAAAAATTATACTAGGAAAATTCGAGATGTTGCCGGCCACCTTGAAACATTCTGGATTAGACGCACGTCTCTCAGTGTGACTAAACCCTAATGATTCTAGTTCTAGGTCTTGTGTTAGTTCTAGTGATGTAAAACTAGAACTAACACTAGACCTAGAACTAGAATCATTCGGATTTAGCCACACGTCTCTCAAGACGGCTAAACCCGAATGATTCTAGTTTTAGGTCTTGTAATAGATCTAGTATAAAACTAGAACTAACACTAAAACTAGAAAGTTGCAGATAGAAGGGAAGACGCATGGCTAAACACGATATTTATTAGCTGCATGTCTCTAAAGACGGCTAAACCCGAATGTTTTTAGTTCTAGGTATAATGTTAGTTCTAGTTTTACACTTGCACTGACTAGAACTAACATTAGACCTGTGTGTCATAAGACGGCTAAAGCCGCATAATTCTAGTTCTTGATCTAGTGTTAGTTCAATAAAAATGTACAACAATCTAGCGCTGCATAACAATTAAAACTAGAACTAACACTAGACCTAGAACTAGAAAGTTCAAACTCAAAAACCGTGATGACTAGAAAAATTCTACGTGCACCATTGGATTCTACGTGAAAAAATATATTAGAACCCGTTTTTACGTTTCCGGATAGCCAAAATACGGGAGGTGTCTGAAAATCGTAAATTTTGAAACACTCTCTGTATATCAAAAACGAAGAGGACTAAGTAAGTTTCACAAAAAAAGTTGCTCAGGTTCGCGAAAGCCGCAACTTTCTATCTTTCATAATAACTGAGATACCCTGCAAATCCATCGAAATTTGGACACCCTGTACAGTGACTCCAAAAACTGTTCGCTCACCATGTGTATTCGCTCACTATTAGTTTGATAAACACAAAATAAATTACAATAGAAACGATTTATTATAATACAAATAGATGTTCTAATGTCCTTTAAAGAAATTACCAAGAAAAGATTGTTCAAACAATCAGTCAACGATAATAAAAAACAATTAAACTCAAATTTTTGCACTCAAAAAGTATTCGCTCACTTAGGTTTAATAAACAAATCAAATTATCTTTTAAATTTCAGTATTGGGGGGGGCTCCATTTCGTTTAATGACTTCAGCTAATCGTCTTGGAAGTGATTCTACTAATCTTTATGTTGTATCTATAGAGATTGTCTCCCACTCAGTAGTTAAAGCGACCTTTAGATCTTTTTGATTCTGAATAAAATATAATATTTTCTGATGTTCATCTCTAGTAACACCACAAATTTCCAATAGTGTTAATGTCAGGCGATTGCGGGCAATCGCGCAATAGACCCTAAATAAATCGTGCAATCATACTCTTTTCCTTCCCTCTACCCTCCTCCATCAAATACTCTGGAATTTCGTCCGTTATTATGACCTTATACTTATCATTGTATNCTTTTTTCGATGAGAAATAGGAATTCAGTGAATTAGTTTTAGTTAACTATCACTTTTCCATAATTTTATGGTTTTATCGTTTTCAAGAGCTGCTGAAGCTATTATATTTTCCGTTGGGTGACATGTTGTACATAAAACAACGTCTAAAATAATTTTAAAAAATTATTAATCGATAGTACACTTTATTTTTTAATTCGGAGGAGTGTTTTCAAATTGAAGCACCAAAAAGATGGGTTGCTATTGGTCAGTTTTAAACAAAAATTACACTAGGAAAATTCGAGGTGTTGCACGTCTCTCAGTGTGGCTAAACCCTAATGATTCTAGTTCTAGGTCTTGTGTTAGTTCTAGTGATAGTGTAAAACTAGAACTAACACTAGACCTAGAACTAGAAACATTCGGATTTAGCCACACGTCTCTCAAGACGGCTAAACCCGAATGATTCTAGTTTTAGGTCTTGTAATAGTTCTAGTATAAAACTAGAACTAACAGTAAAACTAGAAAGTTTCCTTAGTTTCACTTAGAAGGGAAGACGCACGACTAAACCCGATATTTATTAGCCGCACGTCTCTAAAGACTAGTTTTACACTTGCACTGACTAGAACTAACATTAGACCTAGAACTGGAAACATTTGGGTTTAACCCTGCGTGTCATAAGACGGCTAAAGCCGAATAATTCTAGTTCTTGATCTACTGTTAGTTCTACTTTTAGTTCAATAAAAATTTAGTAGTATACCGTGCGTCTGAAGACGAACGGCTAAACTCGATATTTTCTAGTTCTAGGTCTAGTGTTAGTTCTAGTTTTACACTAGCACTGTTACTATGCAGAACTAACACTTTACCTAAAACTAGAATCATTTGGATTTAGTCGCACGGCTCTAAAGACGGCTAAACCTGAATGATTCTAGTTCTAGGTATAGTGTTAGTTCTAGTTTTACACTTCCACTATCACTAGAACTAACATGAGACCTAGAAACAATAGGGTTTAGTCTTGCGTGTCATAAGACGGCTAAAGCCGAATGATTAGAGTTCTTGGTCTAGTGTTAGTTCTACTTTCACGGAGAATCCAATGGTGCACGTAGAATTTTCTAGTCATCACGGTTTTTGAGTTATAAACACAACTCAAATACTGACTCAACTTCTAAAATACTTAACCCTTTATAACTCAAAAACCGTGATGACTAGAAAAATTCTACGTGCACCATTGGATTCCCCGTGAAAAAATCTATTAGAACCCGTTTTTACTTTTTTACTAAGTTTCTGGATAGCCGAGATACAGGAGTGTCTGAAAATCGTAAATATTGAAACACTCTCTGTATATCAAAAACGAAGAGGGCTATGAAAATTTGGTTTGCGCCATTGTAAGTTTCACAAAAAAGTAGCTAAAGTTCGCGAAAGTCGCAACTTTTTATCTTTCATAATAACTGAGATACCCTGCAAACCCATCGAAATTTGGACACCCTGTACAGTGACTCCAAAAACTATTCGCTCACCATGCGTATTCGCTCACTATTAGTTTGATAAAAACAAAATAAATTACAATAGAAAAGCTTAATACAAATACACGTTCTAATGTCCTTATAAGAAATGACCAAGAAAAGATTGTTCAAACAATCAGTCAACGATAATAAAAAACAATTAAACTCAAATTTTTGTACTCAAAAAGTATTCGCTCACTTAGGTTTAATAAACAAATCAAATTATCTTTTAAATTTTAGTATTTGGTGGGGCCTCCATTTCGTTTAATGACTTCAGCTAATCGTCTTGGATGTGATTCTACTAATCTTTATGTTGTGTCTATAGAGATTGTCTCCCTCTCAGTAGTTAAAGCTACGTTTAGAACTTTTTGATTCTGAATAAAATATATTTTCTGATATTCATCTCAAGTAAACTTAACAAATTTTCAATAGAGTTAATGTCAGGGGATTATGGGCAATCGCGCAATAGCACTTAAATCGCGCAATCATACTTTTTTTCCTTCGCTCTACCCTCCTCCATCAAATACTCTGGAATTTCGTCCGTTATTATGACCTTATACTTATCATTGTATTTCCCCTCTTCCACCTAAGCACGCCGTNCGATTGCGGGCAATCGCGCAATAGACCCTAAATAAATCGTGCAATCATACTCTTTTCCTTCCCTCTACCCTCCTCCATCAAATACTCTGGAATTTCGTCCGTTATTATGACCTTATACTTATCATTGTATCTCTCCTCTTCCACCTAAGCACGCCGTCCCAGCTTTTCTACATCTCTATCTCTACTTTTCAACTCCTTCTACAGTATTGACCCTTCCCCCCTCCTCTTTGTACTTCCTTGTTCCCGCCCCAGTCTTAATCGCCACTTTTCCAAAATCTGAAAGTCTGCTCCAGCCCATTTTCCTACTTTATCTTCAACTTTTCTGTCACTATACAGGGTGTATCTGAATGACTGCAACAAACTTCAAGGGGTGATTCTTTAGTGAATTTTAAGGATACTTTAATATATGAACCATGGGCGACATCGGCCTCCCTGGGGAGCTACGCCCCTCCAAAAATATTCTAAAACTATTCTAAAACTTTTTTATCTCTCTGAAGTTCTTCGTAAATTTAATAATTTCTGAGAAAAAAAATAATTAAGCAAACACTAACTGTTAAGCTGTAGGGTTGTTTATCGAAAGTTGGAATGAATTTTTAATGAAAAAACTTTAGTAGGCTTTGCAATCTTTGTCAGAAATATTTTTGACGTTTAAATGTCACTGGTTTTCTTACTATTACTATTGTTTTATTTAAAATTTTGAGCGTAAATGCGATAGAACTTTATTCAAAAATTAATTTGAAAAATAACAATAATAATATTAAGAAAAACACTGCCATTTAAACGTCAAAAATATTTCTGACAAAGATTGGAAAGCCCACTAAGATTTTTTCATTAAAAATTTATTCCATCTTTTGATCGATAACCTCGTTGTTTAACGGGCAGTGTTTGCTTTATTATTTTTTTTCTCAAAAATTAGTCGTATTTGGGAAAATTTTAGAGAGACAAAAAAGTTTTAGGATACTTTCATCTACCTATGTAAAATTTTTCTAATGTATTTATCATCTGCATACAAAAAATTTTAGCAAAAATGTAAAGGGGGTGGTTACGTTTAGTAGTTTAGAAAGGTAGGATGAAAGTACAAATAGGGTCAAAACCTGCCCTATTATGAGTTAAACATATTCCCCAAATTTTATTTTCCTGGCGTTTATGGTTTTTGAGAAAAAAAAATTAAACCAAAATTTTCCGTCATTTTTGGAAGGGCGTAGCTCCCCAGGGGGGCCGAAGTCGCCCATGGTTCATATATGAAAGTACCCTTAAAATTCACTAAAGAATCACCCCTTGAAGTTTGTTGCAGTCATTCAGATACACGCTGTATATCCCTGAGTCTCCCTGCTTAATCCCTAGGACGCACTTCCAAAATCTCTTCTGGATCTTGTATTCCTTCCACCCCCATATTTCTCCTCTATACATTATCAGATTCCTCACCAATCCATCAAATATTATGCACAAATCTTTTCCAAATATTCGTTCCCCCCAGCCCCATATCTGTTCCAATAATCTACTTGCCTTTCTAACTCTTTGCCTAATATGATCCCCAGCCCATTATCCACTCGAAAGGTAAAACCCAGATACAGGACGGGAGACAGTTTGCATTATTGTGGGGTTCCAATCCATTTTGGAGTATTATNATGGGCAATCGCGCAATAGCACTTAAATCGCGCAATCATACTTTTTTTCCTTCGCTCTACCCTCCTCCATCAAATACTCTGGAATTTCGTCCGTTATTATGACCTTATACTTATCATTGTATTTCCCCTCTTCCACCTAAGCACGCCGTCCCTGCTTTTCTACATCTCTATCTCTACTCTTCAACTCTTTCTACAGTATTGACCCTTCCCCCTCCTCTTTGTACTTCCTTGTTCCCGCCCCAGTCTTAATTGCACTCCAACACTTTCCCAAAATCTTAAAGTCTGCTCCAGCCCATTTTCCTACTTTATCTTCAACTCTATACTTTCTCTCACTATATATCCCTGAGTCTCCCTGCTTAATCCCTAGGACGCACTTCTAAAATCTCTTCTAGATCTTGTATTGCTTCCACCCCCATATTTCTCCTCTATACATTATCAGATTCCTCACCAATCCATCAAATATTATGCACAAATCTTTTTGGCCACATATTTGTTCCAATAATCCACTTGCCTTTCTAACACTCTGCCTAAATTGATCCCCAGCCCATTATCCACTCGAAAGGTAAAACCCAGATACAGGACGGGAGACAGTTTGCATTATTCTGGGGTTCCAATCCATTTTGGAGTATTATAGACTAACCACATTTTAGTATTCCAGGCTGTGTGCTTCTGATCGTTGTCTTGGGTAAATATAGAATCGTTATTTAGCCCCATTTTTTCGGCACTGCGTCAAATATTTGTTTTCAAAATGTTGATATATAGCTTGTGATCCATGACAATGAAATGCATATTTCCAACACCTTTCGAGCTCATGCAGCCCCATACTAGCATAGAACCTCCTCCATTTTTAAATGTAGGTCTCTATTTTTTTGTCTTCCAGTTCTTTTTACTTTTGCCGCCATATCAATCGTCGCCGGTTGGATCCATAAATGTTAAACTTACTGTCATCCGTAAATATTACTTTGTTCCAGAACTCATTTCTACTATTTTTATAGATTTTAGCGAATGATTTTTTTTTGTTTATTAATTTTGCTTATAAATGGTTTCTTTCTGGCAACTCAACCATAATATCTAGCTGAATACAGGACGTTACGAACGGTATTTATGGATAGATTTTCCAAATTCACCTTCAACAGCAATTTTTGTTGCACTTTTATTATGATCTTATTTAATTTGGTTAACAATTCTTTTTTCTTTACAAGTGAGCTTTTGAGGACAACCAGTTCTTACATCATTGTTGAAACAATTATTTGAAACGAATCTATCAATAATACTTTTTATGGTCGAATAGACCTGTTTACACATTTACCAATATATGAAATAGATTTGCCTTCTATAGATGTTTCGCACTATTTTCTACCCATTTTAATTTATTCAAAAAAAATATTCGCTTGGTTTGAAAAAACGTAAGGAAGGGATAGTACGACGCATGCGTAACTGGCCTGGGATGATTTACCTACTAGACTAAAAAAAACTAAGTATATTTTGTTTTATTAAAACTACCTGAGCGAATACTTTTTGGAAGTGCAAAATGTGTATGTGTATTGATCTATGTTTGTTATTATTATTGTGAAATTGTTAGGACAATCTTTTCTTGTTAATTTTTTATAAGGACATTACAATGTCTATTTGTATTATAATAAATCTTTTCTATTGTAATTTATTTTATTTTTATCAAACTAATACTGCGAAGTCTTTGGAGTCACTGTAGGTATGATCTGGTTTTTATTATGTTTAAACAAATAAGTAATTACTTTGAAAAATTACACTATGTAAAAGTGATTTTTCATTTTACTCCTCCGAATTAAAAATGGAGTATAAGAAATTGAAATTTATTTTGTACCAGTGTGTCCTTGTAATTTTTGTACAATCTCTTTCGTTTGTAAATTCCAAATATAAACCATACTGTCTTCTGAACCACTAACAATCCATTTACCTCCGGTAACAGAAAAATTAGCAAATATACAATACTTTTCATTTTTATGTCCAGAATAAGTTTTTAAACATTTCCCTTTGGAGTAATCCCATAACTTTAAAGTATTATCCAAAGTAGCTGCTAATATATATTTTCCATTTGGAGAAAATTTTACGAAAGAAACAGGGGGGTTATCATCGTCTATTAATGTTTTTAAACATTGTCCGGAAGCTGTATCCCAAATACGACTAAAAAAAAATTAATAAATAACCCAACTTTTCCTATTTATTTATTTTTTAAATAATATAACCCACCATAATCCGTCGTAACTACTGCTTACAATCAAAGAACCATCCCTATTAAAATGAACCGCACTAACAGGATCTGAATGTGCCGGTAAAGTTTTTAAACATTTCCCTGTTCGAACGTCCCATATCCTAACGGACTCATCGAAAGATCCGGAGACGATCAAATTAGATTGGGGATTAAAATTACAACAAAAAACGTAATTGCTATGTCCTTTCAACGTTTTTAAACATTTCCCTGAACTCAATTCCCAAATTTTCAATGTTTTATCGTCACTCGCCGACACTAAAAGCCTACTATCACTGGACCAAGCTACATCACTAATTCCCAATTTGTGTCCTTGTATAGTTTTCTCAAATTTCCCATCATAAGCCCCCCATATCTTAATTAATTTATCCGCTGAAGAGCTTGCAAGCCATTCACCGTTGGGACTAAATTTAACTGAAGAAACAGCTTTCGTATGTCCAGCTAACGTAAATTTTAATGTGTAATTAGGTTTCTAAAAGAAATTCGATCAATTACAATTTCATTTCAACCTAACCTTTCTACACTCACCACATTACTACCTTTATTTGCACCTCCCGTGGGTGTTAAAGAATTTCCTGACGTCGCAGAAGGATTGGAAGATGAACTATTGTTATGCATTGTTTGAGTATTCGCCAAAGGCAACATAATAATACACCGACAACAACAACTCGTTTTAAGCGATTTTACGTAAACGAGACAAGTTCACCGAAACTTAACGCTGTATGTACGCGATAAATTAACGATCTATTAGTTCTTCGTTAACGGTAATACTGAAGCAAACATTTTTAAATGAGCTTTTACGTCGAATTCGTTAAGCTTTAGGTTAAATTTGATCAAATTTTTAAGTACGCCGTTTATCCACCATATTAAAGCTGGAAAAACGCGCAATGTGGATATTGCCAACATAAAAGAATTAAAGTTACTATAAATTGTCTTATTTATATTTAATTTTTTCGAATTTATTTTAATAATTTATTGATTATTTTGTACTTAATACGTATTAATTAGATATTATCATTATTAAAATTAAGCTGTTTTATTTTAAAACTTTTAATTAAAATATGTAATTGATGAAGCCAACTTCATGCTTAATAACTTAAAGCTGAAAGAAGGGAATTATAAAAGTTATTATAATTAATGGGACTTAATTTATATAACAAGTTTTAATAATTTAGTTTTAAACGTTTTTGGTTTTGAAAATTTCTAAAAATGTAATTGTAGCTTCGATTAAACTTTGAAATAACCCAGTAATCATAAAATTAGACTGAATTTTCAAGTAAAGTACCACTTCCGCTGTAAATGATAATATTAATAATTATACAGCCCGGTTTGGAAGGACAGCAAAATAACAATATAATCATAATTCGCTTTTTTCTGTAATACTTGTCAATGTAAATTTTTTAGGATTTCTGTTGGTATTATCTAGGATCCTTATAAAATTTATGTTGTTTTTCTGATTTTTAGTAACATTTTCAGTAACTAAATAGTTGAGATTAAAGTACTAATAAATTCTTACATAAATACGATTTTAACGCAGTACATATTTATTATAAAAACGTGCTATAAATTAATGAAATAGAACAAAACACCTTAAAAAAAACATATTTTATGCATCTTTTCTTTTTGAATAACGAAAGCTCAAACGTCAGTGTGACATATTTATTTCAAAACATGATAAAACAAAATTCTCTGTTAATTTTTCCAACTTTAAAACAATTTCACAGGTATTATAGAAAAAAAACGAACTGTATGTTAATTAAGCTCATTAAAGTTAAGACGAAAACTCAGAGTTATCATAAGGACGCCACCTTTTCCAAGTAAAATTTTTCCTTTGCAAAACTACCCAAGACCTATTCTATTAAGCTATGTTGCATTTTATGTGGGACAGTGAAATGAAATTCCCGGTATTTCGTGATAATATATTTGATTCCTAACAACCAAACTTATTTATTCAATAATTTGGTGCACAATTGTCAAATATTAATGGCATATTACCAATTCCATTCAAAGAAACCGGAAACTGGAGAAGCATTATTTCCCTTCCTTTCAACATGGTGTGGAAAATTTTAGTTATGTTAAGCACCGTAATTTATTGCAACTTTGTGGCTTATATTTTATTACGAAACCGATCCCGGTAAATTGATGAAATTAAAGACAATTTTGCACTTTAACAATGGCAAATCCTTTATTTTTCAGCTTTTACCGGTTTCGCCCTTAGGGCATCCTCAGAAAGCAACGTCAGTTTTCAATTTGTGAACCCACGCTGAATTCAGTCGCAATAATTTAAATTTTAATTTTTCTTATCACGCCAATTTATATACCTTTAAAAGGTTTTTAATTTGTTATATGAATCTACTTAAGTATTTTAATGTATTCGAAAACTGACGTTGCTTTCTGAGGATGCCCTAAGGGCGAAACCGGTAAAAGCTGAAAAATAAAGGATTTTCCATTGTTAAAGTGCAAAATTGTCTTTAATTAATTTTTTAATTAACATCCAACACAATGGTAAGCATGAAGATTTCAAATATAAATAAATTGAAATTATTATAATTTTGAAGACTCCTCAAGCTGTCAGATATAGCATAAATCCCAAAATGTCAGAATTGAACGATATGCTTAATAAAATCAAATACAACCTAAGTATAAAAACTGATGGAGAACGAAGTTATGAATAAAAAATATTCCTAATGCATCAAGAAATCATAATCCACACTTATGTCATATTTATCTATCACCAGTTTCTAGTGATGTAGCATAAATCATAAAATGTCAAAATNAATTTGTGAACCCACGCTGAATTCAGTCGCAATAATTTAAATTTTAATTTTTCTTATCACACCAATTTATATACCTTTAAAAGGTTTTTAATTTGTTATATGAATCTACTTAAGTATTTTAATGTATTCGAAAACTGACGTTGCTTTCTGAGGATGCCCTAAGGGCGAAACCGGTAAAAGCTGAAAAATAAAGGATTTTCCATTGTTAAAGTGCAAAATTGTCTTTAATTAATTTTTTAATTAACATCCAACACAATGGTAAGCATGAAGATTTCAAATATAAATAAATTGAAATTATTATAATTTTGAAGACTCCTCAAGCTGTCAGATATAGCATAAATCCCAAAATGTCAGAATTGAACGATATGCTTAATAAAATCAAATACAACCTAAGTATAAAAACTGATGGAGAACGAAGTTATGAATAAAAAATATTCCTAATGCATCAAGAAATCATAATCCACACTTATGTCATATTTATCTATCACCAGTTTCTAGTGATGTAGCATAAATCATAAAATGTCAGAATTGGACGATTTTACTTAATAAAATCAAATACAACCTAAGTACTAAAACTGATGGAGAAAGACCTTATGAATAAAAAATATTCCTAATGCATCAAGAAATCACAATCCACACTTATTTCATATTTATCTATCACTAATTTCCAGTGATATAGCATAAATCACAAAATGTCAAAATTGGACCATTTTTCTTAATAAAATTAACTATAACTTAAGTACCAAAACTGATGGAGAAAGACGTTGTAAACAAAAAATATTCCTAATGCATCAAGAAATCATAATCCACTCTTATTTCATATTTACCTATCACCAGTTTCTAGTGATGTAGCATAAATTACTAAATGTCAAAATTGGACGATTTTTCTTGATAAAATCAACTATAACCTAAGTACTAAAACTGATGGAGAAAGACGTTATGAATAAAAAATATTCCTAATGCATCAATAAATCACAATTGACAGTTATTTCGTATTTATCTATCACTAGATTCTAGTGATATAGCATAAATCACAAAATGTCAAAATTGGACGATTTTTCTTAATAAAATCAACTACAACCTAAGTACTAAAACTGATGGAGAAAGACGTTATGAATAAAAAATATTCCTAATGCATCAATAAATCACAATTGACAGTTATTTCGTATTTATCTATCACTAGATTCTAGTGATATAGCATAAATCACAAAATGTCAAAATTGGACGATTTTTCTTAATAAAATCAACTACAACCTAAGTACTAAAACTGATGGAGAAAGACGTTATGAATAAAAAATATTCCTAATGCATCAATAAATCACAATTGACAGTTATTTCGTATTTATCTATCACTAGATTCTAGTGATATAGCATAAATCACAAAATGTCAAAATTGGACGATTTTTCTTAATAAAATCAACTACAACCTAAGTACTAAAACTGATGGAGAAAGACGTTATGAATAAAAAATATTCCTAATGCATCAATAAATCACAATTGACAGTTATTTCGTATTTATCTATCACTAGATTCTAGTGATATAGCATAAATCACAAAATGTCAAAATTGGACGATTTTTCTTAATAAAATCAACTACAACCTAAGTACTAAAACTGATGGAGAAAGACGTTATGAATAAAAAATATTCCTAATGCATCAATAAATCACAATTGACAGTTATTTCGTATTTATCTATCACTAGATTCTAGTGATATAGCATAAATCACAAAATGTCAAAATTGGACGATTTTTCTTAATAAAATCAACTACAACCTAAGTACTAAAACTGATGGAGAAAGACGTTATGAATAAAAAATATTCCTAATGCATCAATAAATCACAATTGACAGTTATTTCGTATTTATCTATCACTAGATTCTAGTGATATAGCATAAATCACAAAATGTCAAAATTGGACGATTTTTCTTAATAAAATCAACTACAACCTAAGTACTAAAACTGATGGAGAAAGACGTTATGAATAAAAAATATTCCTAATGCATCAATAAATCACAATTGACAGTTATTTCGTATTTATCTATCACTAGATTCTAGTGATATAGCATAAATCACAAAATGTCAAAATTGGACGATTTTTCTTAATAAAATCAACTACAACCTAAGTACTAAAACTGATGGAGAAAGACGTTATGAATAAAAAATATTCCTAATGCATCCATAAATCATAATCCACTCTTATTTCATATTTATCTATCACCAGACTCTAGTGATATGGCATAAATCACAAAATGTCAAAATTGGACGATTTTTCTTAATAAAATCAACTACAACATAAGTACTAAAACTGATGGAGAAAGACGTTATGAATAAAAAATATTCCTAATGCATCAATAAATCACAATTGAGAGATGCATATTTTTTGGAGTATTGAATTTATGGTCGGTGCAAACATCCCTTAGACCTTGTCATTTATTATTAGGCAACTTAATATACAGACGATGATTTGAGGTTGCGCTGATAACTTGTAAGTTGTGGAAGAAATGTTTTATTATCTCCTAAAGTAACATAACAGACTTTATAGAATACTGTAACTGTAAATAATAATAAATGGCAGGGTGTAAAGGGATATTTGCATCCACCATAATTCAATACTCCAAAACATATGTATCTCAGGAATGTATCACAGCAATAATATCTTTCGAAAATGTAAATATCCAGATACAGAAGATTCCTACATGATTATTAAATAAAGAAGACTCAAATCTATACAATTGGGATAATTCAGATTGATTCATTTAAACTAACGGAACATTATCACAGTTAATCTAATACATAATAAACTTCGCTCCGGAACAAAAGGATCTTTTAATTTTCATATCTTAAAAAGTATTTGCTGTAAATATCAAATTGACGCAAGTAAGATGTGTTATAACCTTTAATCCTAAACGATAACACAAAATAAATTTAAATTCATAATTTTAAAAATATTTATGTGATACAGTTTAAAATCTCCAATTAAAAAAGCTGTGAAATATGGATAAAAATATTTTAAAAGGTCCCGATTATCACATGGATTTACCTAAAGAATCTTTAGGAAAGCTTTTTTACGACGGTTTAATAAAATATAATAATAAAACTGTTTTTGTAAGTAAATATTTTTTGTATTAAGATAAACTTTTTTGATTTCTTTATAATAACGTAATAAGGTGGATGAATTTACCGGGGAAACTATTACAAATAAAAAAATCTTAGAAATCACAACCCAATTGTGCGGCGTTTTTGAAAATTTGAGTTTAAAAGAAGGCGATTTAATTGGAATTTACAGCGAGAATAGCATTTATTATTTTATACCGATGATTGCAGCTTCTTTTTTAGGGATAACAACGGTTCCAATAAGTAATTATTACTTAGAAGGTAATAAATAAATAAAAAATTGTCTTTAATTAAAAAAACAAAATGTTTTAGCTGAATTAACACATGCTTTAAACTTAACAAAGCCATCAATTTTATTCTGTTCAAAAGAAAGTAGCAAAAACTTTTCAAAGATTCGTGAAAAATTCGGGTTTATTAAGCATGTAGTTGTAATGGATTTTACTGGTTTTAATTCTTTCCTTGAGAAAAACGGTGAAAAAAATGGAGTTTTATCACTAAAAGAAGTGAATAGTGAAGAAAATGTAGCTTTAATTTTATTTTCTTCTGGAACTACTGGTTTACCAAAAGGAGTTATGATTACTCAAAAAAATTTTATTTGTCGAACAGTTCATTGCCGGTAAACATTATTTCTATTTCAAGATTTATATTAAATGATTTTTTTTCAGTGACCCAAGATTAAAATACTTCGAACCAAAAGATGTAATTTTAGGAATTCTCCCGTTCTTCCACGCTTCCGGATTAATGACTTACACAGTTTCTTCAATTCTACTCGGTCACACGTTACGAGTTTTTTCAAAATTCGACCCAAATTTGTATTTAGAAGCGATCCAAAAATATAAATTAACCCAAATTCAAATCGTTCCAACAGTAACCGTTTTCTTAGCCAAAAATCCAATCGTGGATCAATACGATTTATCGAATTTAGAAGACATTTTAACCGGGGGATCACCTTTAAGTGAAAATGTTGAAAAACGAATTATGGATCGATTAAAAATTAAGCATATCAGACAAATTTATGGGATGACTGAAACGACTTTGAATATAACGTGTGTTCCGGTTGGGTTATGGAAACAAGGATCGGTCGGTAAATTAGTGCCCGGAATGATGGCGGCAATAAGAGATCCGGAAAGTGGAGAATTTTTGAGTTCTTATAAAATCGGCGAAGTTATCGTTAAAGGCGATATGGTTATGAAAGGATACTTTAAAAACCCAGACGCGAATAACGAAGTTTTCTTGGAAAATGGATTTTTAAGAACCGGAGATTTAGGCTATTTCGATGACGAAGGAAATTACTTCATCGTCGATCGATTAAAAGAACTAATTAAATATAAATCATTTCAAGTGGCCCCCGCCGAATTAGAAGGGTTATTATTAAAGAATCCAAAAATTTTAGACGCGGGAGTCATTGGGTTACCGGACGAAGAAGCTGGGGAGCTTCCATTGGCATTCGTCGTTAAACAACCGCATGCTCACGATTTAAGCGAAGAAGAAGTTATTAAATACGTTTCTGATAATGTGTCGCATCAAAAACGATTAAGAGGTGGTGTTAAATTCGTGGAAGCAATACCAAAAAATGCAAGCGGGAAAATTTTAAGAAGGGAATTGAGGAAAATGATCGGAAATATTTCTAAATCAAAATTATAATAATGATCATTTAAAAATATTAATTTAATTTTTATATTATTATTTTGATTTTGACAAAAAATAAAGGTTCTCAAACTAATTTCGAGTTGCCACAGCATTCAATCCACGTTTACACAAATACGACGATGTAAATGCTATCAAAAATCGTTGAACAATTAACCATAAACCATTCCGGTATTGGCTTTTGTAACCAAAATTCTTGGTTTTTAAATTTGATTTTTGTTTCCTCATTTGTTGTCAGTTCTATTAGTTCTTCCTGCTGTGTTAACAGTTGAAAATGGATTCCACACCCAGTCTGGTATTTCCAATTTTAAAATGTCCTAGAATCGTTCTTGGAAATCACTGTGAAGGTTCTCCAAATGTTGGCAGTAAAGCAATTGGTCGTTGTTAAAAGATGCCACTGATAAATTAGGGAAATTATAAAACTCACGTCTGCCAATATTTTTCTGATGTAAAAGCAGTTTGGCTACGAAAGCAGCAAGGACATTTTTTGTTTTAATCAAGTTTCAGTCATAGAAACGTTATTTTGCCAAACATTGCAAAAACAAAGTAGTAAAGCAGGAAACTGTAAGCAATTTCAAAAGCTTGGAAGCTTTCAATTCAGCTGTGGATCTAAAATTCCCAGACGAGGACACCTGGATTTTAGACAGTGGTGCATCCGTACACATGACTTTCAATAAAAGTTGTATAGTAGATCGATTTTGATTTTAGCTTTATACTTTAATTAAAATGTTATAGCGCATTCTTTTGGTTGTATTTTACCGTGGTTCTATTTTATAGAATGGGCTATTAGAAAAAGACAAATCAGCCGTCGTATTCTTGAACGGCTTCAGGACCGTCAATTTTCTCTGCGCCCTTTATCCATATACAGGCTGTCCCGAAACTCAACGTCAAGCTGGCACCGGGTGAGAGGCTAACTCATACCTGTTCTTGTAAAAATAAGGAAAAAATTCTATGTCTCTTAGTTAAGTGGTAATAGACATATTTTTGAAAATGTAAAAAATTGTTTCCATACATCATATTTTTAGGTATTTCGGTCAGAAATGTTTGCAATTTAATAGTGATTTTTTTAATAATGTATTTCTTATGAACCATGCTACTATAGCAGTCACAAATCAAACAACAAAAGTCGTTAGTTTTGCAAGAAAATGTATTAGTTTGATTGAGTTAAGGTTGAAAGAATTTATGTCTATTTAGTTTGACACACGATTTCTAAACAACGGAGTAGTACAACACCCTTGGCAAGTTATTTTAAAAGATGGCCTGTTTAGTTAAGATTCCAAAATGGTATAACACTTGCCATTTTTCTTTTCCTAAAAAATATTAGTACTTCTTTTTCTGCAAAAAACGCGTTATTTAAAAAATTCATACTTTCGTATGTCCTCCAAAATAATCTAACAAGTTTGTTAGAAGATGTGCCACTCAATATCTACAGAGAAATGTGGTTTCAATAAGATGGTTGCCCAGCTAATTATGCTTGGTCTGTACGGTATTGCATACAGAATAGCCAGAAAGATGGATTGGGCGTCTTGGTTCGATTACTTGGCCTCCTCATTCTCTGGGCATAAATCTCCTTGATTTTTTTATTAGGATTGCATAAAAGAAAGTGTATTAAAAACCGAAAATCTTGCCGAACTGTGCCACAATATTTATAAAGCAGCAAAAGAAGTAAATGCAAAGAGATTTGCACAACTAGTAAAAAGATCTTTTCTGCGACTATGCAGAGCTTGTATTAGTGCCGACGGCAAACAATTTTAGCATTTGCTTTAGTTTTAAGAAAATAATGCTATAGTAATGCTTTTGTTTGTTTAATTTTGTCTTTAGATTAACCTTATTTGAAACAATCCTTTTGCAAGACATAAGGGCAACCATCTTGTTGAAACCACATTTTGTAGTTCGTAGATATTGACTGGCACATCTTCTAATAAAGTTAAGAGGAAATAAAGAATACAAATAGCATACGAAAATATGAATTTTTTAAATAACGTGTTTTTTGCAGAAAAACAGGCAATAATATTTTTTATGAAAACAAAAATGGCAAGTGTTGTACCATTTTGGAAACTTGACTACACAGGCAATCTTTTAAAATAACTTGCCAAAGGTGTTGTACTACACCTTTTTTTAGAAATCCTGTGTCAAACTTAATAAACAAAAATTCTTTTAACCTAAACTAATAGTTTTTTTGCAAAACTAACGACTTTTGTTGTTTAATTTGTGATTTCTATAGCAGCATGGTTTATAAGAAATACATTATTAAAAAATCATTATTAAATTACGAGCATTTCTGACCGTAGTACCTAAAGATATGATGTACGGGAACGATTTTTAACATTTTCAAAAATATGTCTATTACCAAGAGACATGGAATTTTTTTCTTATATTTACCAGAACAGGTATGGGTTGGCCTCTCACTCGGTGCCCGCTTGACGTTAAATTTTGGGACATTCTGTATATACTATCTCCGGAGATAGTATACAGGATGTTCATTTCAAAACTTTCCACCTCAATTTCTGTAAATCCGGAAGTTTAAAAAGAAAATCGCTGAAATAGGTAAAGAATAAAACCAAGGGGGACAACTTTTTATGCAAAAATTGACTCACTCACTTCAACCCCCCGCCGCCAGAAACCAANCTTTGATTATATATAATATGGATTGAGCCAACGAGAGAGATAGCTTGCGCAAGGTGATCGAACCGAGATAGACATAGAAGCGTACTGCCATATAATGGGTGTACTGATAGAAGTGAGATAGATATAGAAGCGTACTGACATATAATATATCTATCTTTGTTACACTTTCACATTATCGCTTTCCATCTGCGTCTATTCACCTTGAGCAACATTTTTGTTAGTAGATATATTCAGTTAGCTCAATCCATATTATATATAATCAAAGATTACCACTTAACTAAGAGGCATGAAATTTTTTTCTTATATTTACCAGAACAGGTATGGGTTGGCCTCTCACCCGGTGCCCGCTTAACGTTAAGTTTTGGGACATTCTGTATATACTATCTCCGGAGATAGTATATACAGGGTGTCCCGCAACGATTGTACAAAACTACATCAGCGTATTCTATGATCAAAAATAAACAAAAAAAGCCTAATAAACATAGGTCCGAAAATGGACCGTTTCGAGATATTCAAAGATTTAGTTTCATAAGTTGATATTGTTAACATCATGAATTTAAATTTGTTTTTATAATAATTAAGTCGTTACTATGATTNTTTTGCGAAAATCTTTGTTTTGTATTTCCCGCTTTAATTAATATTAAAAACTTTAATCACCTTCTTAAAAGCAAGAATAAGTAATCTCTCGTTTTTACAACGACCATTAAACCTTTATTATTTCGGAGCAATCGGAAATATTTAAGAAAACTAAACACGTATAATTATGAATTACATTACATTTTATTGAAAGTATTTTACATTAAACCTGTATGAAAATTACTCTTGACTCGAATGGCCAAAAAAAGGAAAAAAAGAGACGAAATTTTCTCTTTCTATAAACGAGTTATAGGCAGGCTCACAGTGCGAGAAAAGAATAATTGATTGAAATTGTATTAATGTATGGATCTCAAAATGAATGTGCTCGACGAACTGCTGCAGTTTTTAATGAAAGGCATCCAGATCATGAAGAAATTCACTCAGACTGGGTCCGTTACCAACATAAAACATAATGAGTCGAGAGTTTTGAATGAAACCGCTCAACTAGAAGTGTTGGGTCATTTCGGTATCAACCCCAATACTTCATTGGGTCAGGTATCTCGTGCAACTGGTATATCCTTGGGTTCTGTTCATAAAGTTGTAAAACTTCACAAATTCCAAATAAATTCCTTATAAATTGAAAATGCATCAAGAGCTAACTGAAGACGATTTTGACAGGAGAATACAGTTTTGTGAAGAAGTGACCACTATTATTAATAATAACAACGTTTTTGTGAAAAATATCTGCTTTAGTGATGAATGCACTTTTTCTTTAAATGGATTTGTAAATAAACATAACTGCAGATATTGGAGTAATGAAAACCCTCATCTGACTGTAGAAGGGCATACACAATATCCTGAAAAAGTTAATGTATGGGCCGGCATTTTGGGAGACCAAGTGATTGGTCCAGTGTTTATCGATGGAAATTTAAACGGCGAAGTGTACTTGGATATGTTAGAAAATACTATCAATCCACTAATTACGGAAGCTCTCGAGAATCAGTTGGATAGAGAAGAAAATGCCTTACTTGATGAGAATGAATTACATTTTCAACAAGACGGAGCTCCTCCTCACTATGTTCTCCCAGTACGACAGTGGTTAGATAATACGTTTCCAAACAGATGGATAGGACGAAGAGGTCCTATAGAATGGCCAGCCAGATCACCAGATTTGACGCCATTAGACTTTTTTTTATGGGGTCATTTAAAGTCTGTTGTATTTACCCCTCAACCTCAAAATTTAGAAGAACTTCGTCAGAGAATTACTGCAGCTTGCCGTGGAATTCAAAGGGAAGTTTTTGAAAATGTGTGCCGTAGTTTTGAACAACGGTTGTACCATTGTTTAGCTAATAACATAGAGTTCTTGCACG